TTCACAGGGGTTGCCTTCACCTGAGACCATCAGAAAACATATTTCCGATGATCTTAGGAACCGAGACACCGCTCCTCTGTCCGTCTCCAGGCAGGTCCGCCCATATGCTCAGATACAACATGAGGAACTGTATTATAGGGTCGTGGCATTAGGAAGGTTGAGAACCACTGATATAGGGTTATATTATAGGAAACAGATATTTTCATGAAACATCTTTTGGGATTAGTGGTTCTTGAAGCATGTTTGAGATATACTAAAGTCAGACAAATAAGACAAGTTTTCAGATAAGCATAGCATAGTGAGCACCTGTTCAACTCTCCAATCCCTCCCCAAACCCTATTAAAATGACAAAGGAATGAAAAGGAAAATTTTAAAAGAACTGGAGAGAAGAGACAGCAGATAAGAGAATCCACAAAATAGGAGCTTGAAAGTGAGTGTACAATGGTAAACTCTTAATAGAAAGCTGAAACCTAAACCTTTCATGGGGAGAATGAAGTTAAGAATTAAATCAGTTCACATACAGTAGAGCCTTAAACTGTCTTGGGTCTGAAGGCTTCCATTATCTCTGAAGGCAGGGACATAGGGTGGTGTCAAAAACAGGATTAAAAAACTTTAAAACAGTTTATCCTACAGATTCCTGGCTGAACAGGGTAGGGGAAGGAGACTACCCAGGCAAAGGCTGGAGATTTACTTTCTAGAGTGAGTGGTTGAACCAGATTAAACTCTAGCACAAATGAGAGTAGAAAAAACAACAGAGAAGAGAGGGAGATCAATTGTTGAGACCTCTAATTCTCTACCTGTAATTATTTTTCAAAACACAGTCTTGCTTGTTCCCACTGTGGGAGATAGGAGGCATCTTCTGGGATACTGTATTGCCTAAGAGAAAAGACTTGGAGGTAGTAACAGTTGGGAGTCTCTGAATGAAATAGCCAGCTCTCTGCTTGATCACTCTACATTGAAACCCACTAGTTGGAAAGCTGTGACCACCCATCCACAACATTATCATTCAGTATTTTAGTGTCCCATAAGCAGTCAAGGATCACCAAATATTTGAGGGAAACCCTGGTCTAATAGAGATCAAAACAGAAACAAAAGGAACCTGAGAGAACAACTCAGTTCTGGGAAACAGAGAAGAACTTAAAAATGAATATCCTCAGAGAGAAGAGAAAGGACATTTCATCAGTGAAACAAGAATAAAAGAAGAAACTTTTGGAAATTAATATTAAGCAGAAATTTTAAATACTGTATTCAACAGAAATAGACCAATAACCTGAGAAATCTCAAAGTAGGACAAAAAGTCAAACAGATAAGTAGGGTAGTCGTCCATGAGGATCAGTACTAAATAATACAATTTCAGTAAGGAAAAATAAAACAAAAGACAACGTTATTAAGAAAAATACTACAAAGGAAAATTTCTCAGAATAGTAGGGTGTGAGTATTCAGATAAAGAAATAACACCTAATAAATGAGGAAAGAACTACACTAAGTGCTTCATAAAGTTCTAGAACTCTGCAGATCATAATGTCCTAAGAACCTCTAGAGAGAGAAAACAGACCATGTATAAAAGAATGTTATTTCGGCTCAGCGGTAAGAATGTCAGCCTGCAGACCAGAGAATCCTGTGTTCGGTTCCGCTAAGGGCACGTACCTTGGTTACAATTTGTCCTCCACCCTGGTTGGGATCGTGTGGGTGGCAACCGGTCAATGTGTCTTTCTCACATCAATGGTATGTTCTCTCTCTCTCTCTCTCTCTCTCTCTCTCTCTCTCTCTCTCTCTCTCTCTCTCCTTCCCTCTCTCCCTCCTGCTTTATTTGAAGATAAATGCAAAAATATCCTTGAGTAAGGCCAAAAAAAAAAGAATGTTATCAACAACAGATGGGGCAATGGAATATGGCCTTGAAAATTCTGGGGGAAGTCTAACCTAGATAATTCTATACCTTATCAAACTATCAATCAAGTGCTAAGACAGAATAAAGACATTCTCAAACACATAATAGCTCAAAAATTCATTCCCGTGCACCTTTTCTCAGAATTCTACTGAAAGTTGTGTATGCTTCACTAAATGAAAAAGTAATGAAGGAAAAATGAGTTTCAGAAAATGAGTTTCAACCCAGGAAAAAGATAATGGAGATATCAAGATGATGATAGAGGAGTCCTGGAATGACAGTTGAACAGCAGCTTGTAGAGAGTTACAGTTCAGATAAGAGCAAGAAAAAGTAAGAGAGTATTTCTAAGAGAGTGGGCAAACTTGATGGATGAGTTGATGAGTTTATTAAGAAATGTATTCTTTTGTTGTAGAGTTAGCTAAATTCATGATAGAAAATATAACAAGGAAAAGAGAAGACAAAGCAGTTAACCCTAGGAAAAGCAAGAAGTTGTACAAGAACAGTAATCATACTTAAATATGTGGCTCAGATGTGAATAACGTTTATATTGTTATAATGTAATAATGCTTATATCAAATGTTGGTATATCAAAAAGAACATTAGGATGGGGGCAGAAAAGGAGATAGGTCAGTGGTTTAAGAGAAAAATCTGTATCTTCTATAGCAGTGATTTTCAACCAGTGTGCCACAAGAATTTTTAAAACATGTAATACCTGACTAGTCAGGAGCACTGACCTCTTTTCCCTTTGATTGTCAAATAAAAAAATGACAGCCAACACAACAGCTGCCAGGTGTGAATGAATAAAAATTATACTTGTTTTTTGTTTGTTCGTTTGTTTTGTCAGATCAGCAAAATACATATTTTTTGGAGTGCCACAGAATTTTAGTAATCAGTTTATGGGTGCTATGAGATGAAAAAGGTAGAAAATTGCAGTTCTGAATTTTTTAAAAACCAGAAATATATGAAACCGAAAAACACCAAGTTAGAATAGTATAGCATGTTATTTAAAACTAGAGAGATAAATATTAGAAGAAATAGCTGAAGGATTTGATGATTGTGGAAACAAAATCAAGAGTGGGGATTTCTGTAGTTTTTCTTTGTAAGCCTAGAAGTGCTTTTTGACTTCTTAAAGCATATGTGTGCATTACTTGGATAAAAATTAAATGAAAATATGTATTACTGCTATCCAAAGGCAGATAGATTGGTAGGGTAGATTTGTGAAATGATTTCCAAGAAGCCACAATTTAGACAAATCTTTAGTATTGATCACTTTTGATTTTTGTTACTGGAAATGCTTAGTTATTATCTCAGAATTTCACAGAAATATATGAGGTATCTTTTGGACTAGATTTTCACACTTAGCATTGGTCAGAAAACTAACAGTTCTTCCCATAGACAGCATTTTGTCTAATGCTGGCTTCCTAAGATAAGCTTCCAAGTGAAGAACAGTGTAAACAGTACATATTCTTTAAGGTATTGAGTGAATGAAACCTGAATAAAAACAATTCAGCACCCTTAGGGCATAAGAGACACTATGTAGCTAGGTACAACACTGCAATTCTCTGTCTAAAAGAAATAGTTATTTCTAAGAAAGTGGCTGGGTACCTATCACACATTTTTATTTCGGGCTTCTTTAAGCAGTTTAAAAAATCGATATCTTAAATATACACCAAAGGGTAGAAATGTGCCCTGGCCGATTTGGCTCAGTGGTTAGAGCGTCGGCCCAGGGACCAGAGAGGCCTGGGTTTGGTTCCTGCTAAGGGCACGTACCTCGGTTGCAGTTTGTCTCTGGCCCCGGTTGGGGTTGTATGGGTGGCAACCAGTCAGTGTGTCTCTCTCACATCGATGTTTCTCTCTCTCCCTCCCACTGTATCTGAAGATAAATGCAAGAATGTCCTCGGGTGAGGATAAAAAAGGGGGGGGGGGATAGAAATGTAAATTCCTGGAACTCAGCCAGCACCCCTCTCCCCAATGTTGAAATTGTGTTTGTTACAACAGTCCTGGGTGGGACATGTGTGAAGGATGGATAATAGCATGAAACCAAACAGCTGTTGTATAGTAAACTTAAAAGGAAATTAGTATGTTAATAAGTAGAAAGTAGGCTATAACCAACTAGACTGTCAAAAGAAACCCCAAATACATATGTTCTTCTAATAGTAGGAAACAGGGCTCCTACTTAGGGTGATTTATTTTGAACAAAGTCAGTAAGCCCTTTGTGAGGCAAGCAAGGCTGAAGAGTGAAAGACCAGTTGTCATTTTCCCTGTAGACTTTTTCTAGAATGTTGCAGAAAGAGCAGTGACAGTACCAGCCACAGTTTATTGCAGACAAGTGTACTGATAGTTATAGATGGCTATTAGCATAGAACTGATAGTAAAGAAAAACTAAGAGCGATGATCTGTAAAGATGCTAACACAATTTTTGTGGTTAGCGGAAACTATTCTTTATCTTCCTTAACCTGGAAGTACGTATCCATAGAAATAAATTCCTAAATGGGACAGATAATGACAAAAAATAAGTCATAAGCAGTGTAGCCAGAAACATTTCTATAACAGAAAACTGTTTTTATTAGCACTCTCCTTTTCCTAATTGTAAATATAAAGTTTGAGGAGGAAAGAGGGTACTTATTTGAAGATGGTGCCAGTGGTTAAATGGTCATTTATGGTTGACAAGAGCTGATGGACCCAGTTCCATTGTCGGTCAGTACCTATTACTTAGGTCATAGCTGAAAAAGGACATATGAAGTGCATTATTATATTAAATAATTTGACTTTTTGTATATACTTTTTGTTACAGGATGGTTTAAATTTTCATAGGGTACCAGAAAATGTTGACTAGAATTTTAATACTCATGCTCTAAACACAGCAGTATTACATGCTTTACCAGTTTTCTCTTTTGTGGCCTTTTATGGTTTTCTTGTGTCTGTGGCTTAACAAAATAAGATAAAATTAGCATTTGGAAAAATTATGTAAATACAAGTGCGATTATTTTAAATGGAATTTTTCTGCATATTTCAACTTTCTTTTGTCAATATATCAGTGTCAATACTGGTTTTACAGCCTTTTAAAATAAACATTCAGACAAGGTAACCAAGTCTTTTTGTATCTTTGTTACAGGAAAAACGAAACACAGTGAAATGGGAGGAAAGAAAAATGCAACAATAAAGATAAAGAAGGTTTGTTGAAAATCTTTTTCTTAGATAGTGCTTTATGGTTTTAAGTACATAATGCTAGTGCCTCAGGTATATCAAAATATTTAAATATAACTATTACCTACTATCATGGAGGGTTTTTGTTTGTTGTTTCACTAACCTCTTTTTACTTTTCTAGCCTCGAAGATCAAATCAGTGTACAAGTCAGTACTTCAGAAATTTTTTCTCCAATATGTTTTCTTCTAGTAGTAACACTGGAGAATCTTCTTTTACCTGTAGAGCATATTGGTTAGTATTTTCAACTTTTAATTTATACTTTTTATACTTGACATTTTAGTTATAATTGACTTTTGGTTGAAATTTAAACTCAGGCTCAACAAATATGAAAGCCCACCGTTTTTGGTTTTGATTTCTTTCAGAAAATAAACTACTTTTATCAAAGAGAAAACCTATCATTTTGTGACATTCTCTGTTATGCAAAGACTTGCCTGTGCTAGTGGGCTTTGTTTTCATTAATAATGAGTTATTCTACACAGGCTTTTTATGTGGTAGAAAAGTAGGCTACTTTTTACATTGTGGCAGTAGTGCCTAAAAAGCAGTCCTTTCAGAGTAGATCAGTCATCTTTGAATCGTAGTGACTGGTGAGTAGATACTAAGTAGATATAGGTGGAATTTGAAAACTAAGTTGGTGTGTTAAAATCACACAGAGTTGGTTGAACTAACGACAGATTATGATTGTATAATTTCATTTACAAGCTTGGCAAGGCACCAAAAAAGTACTGTACCCCCGCCCCCCTTTTTTGTTACAGTGACTGTACTTCTTTGATTTTCTTTTGTCCATTGCTTAGTTTCAGTTGGAAACTACTGCACCTACAATTTCTGCTGGAACTGCTTGCTGTGGCTTTGGTTCATGGGATAGAAGTAGTGTTGGGTTGTTTTCTCTCAATAATAAGGATATTAGTCTGAATTGACTTTTTAAAATTTTAATCACTTAAATAGAAATTCAAGCATTTTTTTATGAATCAAATATAATTTTGGTTTGTAATATAAATATTTTACTAACTTTAGGAATGAGTTTATTTTGAAAAGTGTTTAAATAGAAAAAGGTTCTTAGTCTTTTAAATGTGCTTTATAATGCTAGGTATGAAAAGAACTGCATATATATAATGAACCCAATTGTTACTCCAAGCTTAAATCTTCGGAATTTTGATGAAGGTATAAAATTTATCTTTTAGTACAGAATTTATAGAAGTCAATGAAGTCAGTGCATTAATTAGGCAGAAGAGACAAGAACTGGAATTATCATGGTTTCCTGATACATTACCTGGAATTGGAAGGTAAAAAAAATTGTTTACTAAAGTGTTTAAATACCAACTCGAGCATAAGATAGCATTAATAGTAAGTAAAAATTCATCTTATTTAGTAATTATGTTTCTAATAAAGTTTTGTGCAAATTATACTTTGGTGCTTCATATGCCTAACAAACATTGCTATTTCATGAACCCTTAAAAGAATTTTAATCTGTTTAATAAATGTAGATATATGATTCCTTTAAAAGGGATAGTGCCTAGCCCTGGCCGGTTTGGCTCAGCGGTTAGAGCGTTGGCCTGCGGTCCGGAGAGACCCAGGTTCGGTTCCCGCTAAGAGCGTGTACCTCGGTTGCAGTTTGTCCCCGGCTCTGGTTGGTCGTGCGGGTGGCAGCCACTCGATGTGTCCCTTTCACATCGATGTCTTCCTCTCTCTCTCTTCCTCTCCCTCCCTCCCACTCTGTCTGTACAATAAAATGGAAAAATGTCCTTGGATGAGGATTAAAAAAAAAAAAAAATCACTGTCACAGTTGGACAGTGCATGTTAAAAGGGATAGTGCCTAAATAATAAGATTCATTATTAGTAATAACATTCATATGTCATTCTTCCTCTACTCTTTTTTTCCTTGTTCCAATCTTACCTGTGTGCTGTTAGCTGAACCACTGCTTTTCTCATATTTTCTCTCCAAAATGTTCTTTTAAATAACTATTTGATTAAGCCTGTACTCTGCCCTGGCATTCATGACTTTCTGTAATCTAGCCTTTTCTTAGTTTAAGTCCTAGCACATTGCTAGGTACATGATATATACTTTGGTCAAGCATGTATGTAAAGATCAAGGTTGTTGCCTGTAACTGGAATTTTATTTTATATATCACTGTAATGTAGTTCTGCATAGGGCCCTTCACACTCTAGGAATGACAGTGGAAATCAAGTAGAAGTAAAATTAGGAAGTCCAGATATGTATAATATGAAACCTTTTCTTAAGAGGTATACATTTCTGTACATGTACACATTGTACTTTTTTATTTTCAAATTTATCCCCCCCACACACACACTCCATAATCTCACCTTATACTGGATAAGATAGTCTTATTAGGAGATTTGAACTGATGAACAAATATGAATCAGAAAAGTAGAAGCTGAGAGTGGATTGGGTTTGATGCAGAAACTTTAGGGTCTTAGGTCCATAGGGACACAGGGAACTTTGAAGAGCTATCATCTTTAAATGGAGGAATTTCAAAATATAGCAGTAGAAATCAGGTTTTTAAAATTTTTACATATTTCGATGTTTGGGGCCTTGAAATATGCTGTAAAACAAAAACATGTAGCCCTGGCCTATTTGGCTCAGTGGTTAGAGCGTCAGCCTGCGGTCCAGAGAGACCCGGGTTCGGTTCCAGCTAAGGGCACATACCTTGGTTGCAGTTTGTCCTCGGCCCTGGCAGAGTCGTGTGGTAGGCAGCCACTCGGTGTGCCCCTTTCACGACGATGTTTCTCTCTCCTTCTCTTCCTCTCTCTCCCCCTCCCACTCTATCTGAACAAAGAGTGGAAAAATGTCCTCGGGTGAGGATAAAAAAAAAAAATGTAACAAAAACTGTGATATCATCTATGAAATGCTTCAGAATTCAAATAATGTAGTTTTATTTTCAATATTTAAGTTTTTATTAATTCATGGACTAATTGCCCTTTGACCTCGCTAATTTCTTTAAAACTTTGATTTGATTAAATTGACAAAATTATCTTTTTGGTTGCCTGGAGAAGGAATGGGGTACAAGGGGATGAAAATGCTTTCTGGAGTGGTGGGAATGATCTATTTTTACTGGGGTGGTGGTCATACGGATACATATAGTGATCAAGAGTCATCAAAGTGTACACTTAAAATCTGTGCGCCAGCCAGGGCAAAGCTAAAGTATCTTGATAAAATATTAAATTATTTAAAAGAAAAAAAAAAAACTATTATATATTTAAGTTTACCTTGATCTCTCTTTGCCATTTTTCTGAAAAACATGTTTTAAATGTTTTTTTTTTTCTTCACAGCCAATTGGTAGCCAACCTTGAACAATGAGTAGCTTTGAATTTACATTTTTAACTATTCGGGCAAAAAAATTTAAGCACACTGTATTTTCATATTGCTAACCTGATTTGGAAAGTTGCTGGTTTAACTTTTTAAACCATTTAAACAAAAATGTCTTTGTTTTGAATTTTCAGAATTGGTTTTATACCCTGGAATATTGAAACAGAAGTCCTTCTTCCCATCCCTTCTGTGTTGCCGAGAACTATTTTTCCAACAAGTACCATATCCTTAGAGAATTTTGGTAAAGTTTGTGAAGTTTTTTTTTTCTACTTTTAAAAAAATTATGAGCTGCTTTTAGGTCCCATAAAAAATGAGTGTTGATGACTTAGAAAAACTGTTAAATAATTAGGTTTGAATAGTAAGTCCTAAATATTTCTGTAAATATTTGGTCATTGACTTGACTTTAAAATTGTTCAAACTAGAAAATCCCTTTACTTTGAGAAATTACAAGTTATTGTTTTTGAGAACTGATTAAAAGTCTCCCTTCTATTTAGGGCTTCTCCTATCTCCCATTAATTATGAACAAATACTTTGAGTACTTATAGATAACTGGTTTTCTCTTGCATCTTGCCTGAGTAATACCAATTCATAAAGCAAATGGCAGTTACTAGACCAAACGTATTTTCATTCGTTTTGTTTTTTCCTGTAAAATTGCCTACATGGATTCAGATCTTGTGATAACTCATTTCAGTAGCATTAAAAGAAGCTGATAGATATTTGATATTACTCAGATATTAGTAGCTGTACATTTATTCACAGTTTGATTCATAAGTAGATTTTGTTTCACTCTCTTGTAGATGTCTATTTTATGCTAAAATAACTGAAGCCAAACTATTCTCATTTATTAAAACATATACTTACTTTTTACTCTTTAAAAAATATATTATTAGGTACTTCTTGCAAGGGATATGCATTAGCACATACTCAAGAAGGAGAAGAGAAGAAGCAAACTTCTGGTACATCAAACACCAGAGGATCAAGACGAAAACCTGCAGCTACAACTCCTACAAGGAGATCTACACGTAACACGAGAGCTGAAACAGTCACTCAGTCTCAGAGATCCCCGGTATCAAATAATTCTGGGTGTGATGCCCCAGAGAATAATAACCCATCTGTAAGTGTTTCTTCTTCAGCTGAGTCCGAAAAGCAAACAAGACAGGCCCCAAAACGGAAATCTGTAAGAAGAGGAAGAAAACCACCTTTACTTAAAAAGAAACTTCGGAGCTCTGCACCTCCCCCTGAAAAATCATCTTCCAGTGATTCAGTAGATGAAGAAACAGCAGAATCTGACACACCACCTGTATTAGAGAAAGAGCACCAATCAGATGAAGAAAGTAGTAACACTTTTACTGTGCAGACAGATGTAAAAAATAAGTCTGCTAATGGCTTGAAAAGTTGCAGTGAGCAAATAGAAGAAAGTGAGGAACACATTGAGAACCATGATACAGAGGAAAAAGTAGAGTCTTCATATTCTGAGTCTTGTATCCAAAATCCTCCTGTTCTGGTTGAAGAGGAGGAGGAAGTTCAAAAAATTGAGAATATAGGTATCGAAGACATTCAAAAAGTTGAGAATACAGTTATTGAGGACATTCAAAAAGTTGAGAATACAGGTATTGAAGAAATTCAAGAAGTTGAGAATACAGGTATTGAGGACATTCAAAAAGTCGAGACTACAGGTATTGAGGAAATTCAAAAAGTTGATAATACAGGTATTGAGGAAATTCAGAAAACTGAGAATACAGGTATTGAGGAAATTCAGAAAACTGAGAATACAGGTATTGAGGAAATTCAAAAAGTTGAGAATACAGGTATTGAGGAAATTCAAAAAGTTGAGAATACAGATAATGAGGAAATTCAGAAAGTTGAGAATACAGATAATGAGGAAATTCAGAAAGTTGAGAATACAGATAATGAGGAAATTCAGAACGTTGAGAATACAGATAATGAGGAAATTCAGAACGTTGAGAATACAGATAATGAGGAAATTCAGAAAGTTGAGAATATAGATAATGAGGCTTATGTTTTTTGTTTAGAAAATGTGATTTCTGAAAATATTTCTGAAAAAGATAATGATCCATTAGAAAATCAAGACCAAGTATCTGGACCATCAGAATCAGAAGTAAAAGATATATGTACAGACCATTCTCCAAATGATTCTCTTACATGTTCAGCATCTGAAATGGAAGTACAACAACCTATACCAAACCTAGATGAGTTATCTGAGAATGCAGACGTAGTGGTTAATGAAGAAAAAGTTGTAGAGGTTAATGAAGAAAAAGTTAGAGATGTTAATGATGAAGAGGTTAGAGAGAGTACTATAGTAGAAACTATTGATCATGAAGATTCTACAGTAAAAGCAGACCAGCTTGTAGACAACCCAAAATTAGAATTTTCTGAGGGTGGAATTATACAAAGAGTGGACAAAACATCTATTGAGAGCTCAGAGATTCAGTTGCCTGGGCATGTTGAAACTGAAGATGCAGAAATAATTACAACGTGTGATACTTCAGGGAATGAAAATTTCAAGAGTATTCAAGATTCTGAAAATAATTTATTAAAAATTAATCTTAACACCAAATTAGACACATCTTTAGAAGAAAAGATTGACTCTCTGGTTGAACATCCCAGATCTACAGAATTGCCTAACACACACATTGAACAGATTCAGAAGCATTTTAGTGAAGACAATAATGAAATGATACCTATGGAATGTGATTCATTTTGCAGTGACCAGAATGAATCTGGAATTGAACTGTCTGTAAATGCTGATGCTAAACAGTTGAACAGAAATTCTGCAGAGCACGGTTCTCAAAATAATATGTCATCATCTGATTCTGTAAGTGAAAAGGTAGAAACCCTATCTCAACCATTTGAGAGCCCAACAGATATGATAGATAAAGCCAAAAAGCCTCGTACTCGAAGATCTAGATTTCATTCCCCATCTACAACTTGGTCTCCCAACAAAGACACTGCACGAGAAAAGAAGAGGTCTCAGTCTCCATCTCCCAAAAGAGAAACTGGAAAAGAAAGCAGGAAGTCTCAATCACCATCTCCCAAGAAAGAATCTGCAAGAGGACGGAGAAAATCTCGTTCTCAGTCTCCAAAAAAGGATATTGCAAAAGAGAGAAGCCAATCACAGTCTCGATCTCCAAAAAAAGATAGCATTAGGGATGGCAAAAGATCAGAATCACTTTCTCCAAAGAGAGACACTTCTAGAGAAAACAGAAGATCTCAGTCAAGAGTAAAAGATTACTCACCAAGAGAAAAATCCAGGTCCCAGAGCAGAGAAAGAGAAAGTGATAGAGATGGTCCCAGGAGAGAGAGAGAAAGGAGAAACAGAAGGTGGTCTAGGTCCAGATCTCGTTCTAGATCACCATCAAGATCTAGAACAAAAAGTAAGAGTTCATCATTTGGTAGAAATGACAGAGACAATTACTCTCCTCGGTGGAAGGAAAGATGGGCAAATGATGGTTGGAGATGTCCACGAGGAAATGATCGGTACAGAAAGAGTGACCCAGAGAAACAGAATGAAAATACAAGAAAAGAAAAAAATGACATCAGTCTGGATACCGATGATCCAAATTCTGCTGACAAACATAGAATTGACTGTCCCAGTTGGGTAACAGAAAAAATAAATTCTGGGCCTGATCCAAGGACCAGAAATCCAGAAAAGGTAAAAGATTCCCATTGGGAAGAAAATAGAAATGAAAATTCAGGGAATTCTTGGAATAAAAACTTTGGTTCAGGTTGGATGTCTAACCGTGGTCGAGGTAACCGTGGCAGAGGCACTTACAGAGGTAGTTTTGCCTATATAGATCAAAGTGAAAATCGGTGGCAAAACCAGAAACCCCTCTCAGGGAATTCAAATGGTTCAGGGAATGAGTCTTTCAAGTTTGTGGAACAGCAACCTTATAAACGGAAAGGTGAGCAAGAGTTCTCATTTGACACGCCAGCAGACAGATCCGGGTGGACATCTGCATCTAGTTGGGCTGTGAGAAAGACTCTACCAGCAGATGTACAAAACTATTATTCACGACGAGGGCGGAATTCTTCAGGCTCACAGTCTGGATGGATGAGACAGGAAGAAGAAACAACTGAACAGGGTAACATATTCTCTTTATTAACATTTTTATTTGAGGAAATGTAAGTTTAATACCTTATTTGTATGAATTGAAATGATCCATCTTTATAGTTCTATAAAATTAAATTGAATACCAGTTGTTGACAGGTCACTTTACATTTTAAAATATATATACACATCAATATTTATTTTCTTCTTTCATCCCAACCCTGCCCCATACTTTGGCCAAGACTTTAATATTTTAAGCACAATTTGCTACAATAGAAGAATTTGGGATGTTTCTATTTCTTTTATTTTGGATGTGTACACTTGAATTATTTTTATCATTGTTCTCATAAGTAAGTCACTCTTCTAGTAGAGATTTATCTTTCCTTGGCTTTTTTTTGTTAACAATGCAAGAAAAATGTTGTTAAAGATTAAAATTAATTAACTCTACTTCTAGTTTAGTAACCTAAATAAATTTTGTATTTATTTCTTTAACTAGTCAATAAGTTTCTTGAGCCAGTGATTCTTTGCTAATATTGATGGACGTTATCATGTCATCTTATTCTTTTATTTATTTTTAATCCTCACCAGAGAATATTTTCCCATTGATTTTCAGATAGAGTGGGAGGGAGGGGGAGAGAGAGAAACATCAGCGTGTCACACATTGATTGGTTGCCTCCCGCATGACACTGACCAGGGCTGGGGATCGAATCACAACTGATGTACGTGCCCTTAACCAGAATTGATCCCATGACTATTTGGTCCGTGGGCCAATGCTCTAACCGCTGAGCAAAACTGGCCAGGGCTCACTTTATTCTTAAAAAGTATTTTAGTTGAATGTTTACTTTTAGAAAATTAGCCTACATTATTTAGAAATCACAGGATTAAGCCCAAACCTATTGGAGATAGGTTTAGGTGTTGTGAGTCTGTTAATTGCTATTTAATTTTACTGTAACCGGCAGTTGTTTGCTTCTTGTCTAAGGACATTTGTAATGTGATATTTTTCACAAGCCTTTTTTCTTTTGATAGATTCTAACCTAAAAGACCAAACAAACCAGCAAGGTGATTGTTCTCAGCTACCTATAAATATGATGCAACCACAAATGAATGTAATGCCTCAACAAATGAATGCACAACACCAGCCTATGAATCTCTTCCCATATCCAGTACCGGGTGTTCATGCACCTTTGATGAACATCCAACGCAATCCATTTAATATTCATCCTCAGCTACCCTTGCATCTACACACAGGAGTACCTCTCATACAGGTAGCTGCTCCTACCAGTGTATCTCAGGGACTACCACCACCACCACCCCCTCCCCCGCCATCCCAACAAGTCCACTACATTGCTTCACAGCCAGATGGAAAGCAATTGCAGGTATGTGTTTAAGTTTAATCAACTTAAGCAACTCAAGTTTAATCAACGTATCCATTGTAAACATTTAGCTATTAGGGGTAGATGTTCAAGAAAGGGCTTCCTGGCATCCAAAACGATTATTTATTTGATTAGGTTTATGCAGCGATTTTTAACCTTGTTCATCTTATGGCACAGAAACTAATTACTAAAATTTTGTGGCATGCCAAAAAATACATTTTTTTTATTTCATTTATACCAGATGGCTGTTGTTGTGTCGGCTGTTAATCATTTTTTTATTTGACAGTCTAAGGGAAGAGAGGTCAGTGCCCTTGATTAAATCCTCAGGTATTGCATGTTTTAAAAATTCTTTCGGCACACTGGTTGAAAATCGCTGGGTTTATGGTAAATCTTCGTAACTCCTCTTTCACAATTCTTCCCCCAAACACCCCAAGTAAGAAACTGAATTGAACACTGTTACTGATATCCAAACGGGTGTTTTCAGATTACAGAGACCAGATAATAATGAGCCAGACTAGAATCATTGTGGGTGCTTTAAAATTTTCCCCTAATTTATTGGATTCTTTAGGGGGTGGGAACTTGTGATAAAGTTCTGCTTGTGTTGTCTTGTTTGGAGAGATGCCAGTTCAAGTGTTCACTATCCATTACTGTCTGTTTCATTTTCACGAATTGACCAAAAAAAAGAGAGAGGTGCCTCTAAGGCATCTAGTTAACTTGAATAATAATTTATAAATGTATTGTTTATAGTTTTATGTCTGCGTTTTACAAATTCTAGAATTCTGACAGAAAAATATAGTTGGAAGAATGGGGAAATGGGATTCCAGAATATGGGATCTTACGTCTTTTTCTGCTTTCAACTCACTGCAGGCCATTGACTTCACTGCCTCATTTTCTCCCATCTTTAAAGCGGGGCACTTGCTTTAGTTAATTTCCATAAAGAGCCTTGCAAGAAAGATACTGTTCTTTAAATGCTATTCTTCTTGTTTTTAGTATTGATGTCAGAATATTACAATATACATACATAATTTAAAAGTTATGTTGACATACTTAAATAAGGTTCTGTTTAAGAAAGTTACCCATTTTCCCTCAGAGTCCTTTAGATATAAATGACCTGAAATATGCATCTCTCTTAAGTACTAAGGTTGAATTGCTTTGCATTTTTTAAATGTTATTTCTAATGTGTGACTAAAAGACTTCTGTTGAGTACAAGAATTCATTAATTGACGATAACTCTTTAAAACAGGGTATTCCTGGTGCTTCTCATGTAAGTAATAGCATGAGTACGCCAGTCTTGCCCGCTCCGACAGCAGCCCCAGGAAATATGGAAACAGTTCAGGGACCAAGTTCTGGTAATACTTCGTCATCCAGTCACAGCAAAGCCTCTAATGCTGCTGTAAAATTGGCAGAAAGCAAAGTAAGTGTTACAGTGGAAGCCAGCGCAGATAGCTCGAAGACAGACAAGGCAAGTTCAAGGTTGAGAGCAACCTACATAATTTTGTATCTGATAAAGTTGAAAAAAATAACAGCTTTCTATTGTATAAGTGGTAAAGGGAATTTATTGATGGTTTTAAATTTTAATATTATTTGAAGGGTCCTTTCTAGATATGATGATGCCCAATGAGTTACTAGTAATATTTCATAATTATTTTTAGAAATATTTTATAAGTAAATTTTGTTTACAACATTAATATTTGAAGAGCTCCTTTGAATAATGCAAATGCATAGTGTTTTTAATTTTATATTTTTAAAGAAATTTTTTGGACATATGCAATTGGGCAAATAATAATTATACATTTTCCTCTTATCAGAAATTGCAAATTCAAGAGAAAGCAGCACAGGAGGTAAAACTGGCCATTAAGCCATTTTACCAAAATAAAGATATCACCAAGGAAGAATATAAAGAGATTGTACGAAAAGCAGTAGATAAAGTAAGTTATAGCTTTAGTGGAGTTTTGTATGTATTGTTTTGAACCTTCTCTATTTTAATAAAGGAATGCTTAAGTCTAATTAAAATAATAAGAGCTGCCTTCTAATTCTTGTCTGCCTTTTTTTTTTCTTCATTGATTTTAGAGAGAGGAAGGGAGAGGGGGAGAGATAGAAACATCAATGAGAGAGAACATCGATTGTCCACCTCCTGCATGCCCCCTACTGGGGATTTGGCCCACAACCTGGGCATGTGCTCTGACTGGGAATCGAACCTGCGACCTCTTGATGCATGGGTCAATGTTCAATCACGGAGCCATACTGGCTGGGCTCTTGTCTGCTTTTTTAACTTTTGAATAAGTTCATACAAGTTATAGAAAATGGGAAAATGTCTGTTTTGGAGTTAGTTGTTTTTCACAAACCTTTCCATTTTGTTTCCTTTAATTATGAAAACAAAATTTCCCTCATTTTTTCATAGGTTTGTCATAGTAAGAGTGGAGAAGTCAATTCTACTAAAGTGGCAAATTTGGTTAAAGCCTATGTAGACAAATACAAATATTCACGGAAGGGAAGCCAAAAGAAAACTCTGGAAGAACCTGTGTCTACTGAGAAACACATAGGCTGAGATGGAGAGCACTGCAAAGGACACTCAAGATTTCTGCAAAGTGCAATTTCAACATGTACCTTTAACTGAGAATCATACATAACTGTGATTGAAATTTGGTTTTGATAAAATTATTTTTTTTAACGTAGGATATAATGTTTTGTTCAAAATAAATAATAGTTCTGCACTGCAACTTCCATATCCTTTTCTCCCACCCACTGCCCTCAAATAAAAGCAAACTCAAGGGAAAGTAAAGGGGTTAAAGGAATGTGCATTTTCACTAGGACTGTTACAGTGTGGAGACTGAAAGATGTACAGCTTTTTGATTTGAACAATGGAGTGCATAAATTAGAAATTTCTAAGTGCACTGGTTTTGGAAATTTCTAAGTGCACTGGTTATATATATATAATACATTTATTCTGTCAGGCTAAAAATAAAGTATGATCTATATGATTTTTCCCTCTAATTATAGAAAGCTAAGTAATGTATTACTGTGAGAAATATTTCTAATAACAGAACATACCAATTGTAGGGTTCCTAATCTGTATTTTTAAAGCACACATCTGAATAAATTGTTTAGATAGAAAACAAATTACCACATAAATAAAATTCAGTGTTCAAAACTTTGGAACACTGTTGATCTATTGTATCACCAAATAAAGGGTATGCTGCTTGTTTTTCTTTGTGCCTTTTTTCCCCCCCAATTGAGATGAAGCAGTTTTATTTGCTAGATTTACAACTTTAGCAGTCTAAATTCTTGGTTGAATTTAGAAGACCAGTTTGGAAAAAGTGTTGACTTTGCAAAAGTCGTGTTCTTTCATAATATTTCCTACCTATCAGAGAAGATAAATTATCTGTGCCAACTGGAGAACTGCTGTTCAATGGTGGTGACCCTCCCTCCCTTGGGATTAAGGTAGAATTCTGAGACTCGCTTCAGTGGCTTTTGGGTGGTTGTTCATCTGTCCAATCACTAATGAAATTCTTTTCACGCTTGAGAAATCTCCAAATGCTTTACAGTGAATAAAGTGTTAATTTGGTGACCATGTGATGGCCATTGAGCATGGTGCAAACATCTAAACATTAAAATCCATGTTTTGGAAAGGAAGAGGAATTATAAATAATGGAGTTTTGGTTAGGCCTTCAGGGACTAGGGATTTTTTTTTTTTTTTTTAATACTAGAATATGTTAACTTTTATAAAAGGTAAGTTTAAAGTGTTATAGTATCATTATTTTAATTGGCATTTTGGAAGAAAACTGTGTCCATGATAATCTGTCTTTTATTCTAGTAACAATTTTCAGTAGATACCAAATAACAGGAAAGCTATTCAGGTAAGACATTAATGGCTCAAACATAGGTATATGCCTCAGTGAGACAGACTGACCTTTTTACTAGCTAAACTAGCAAGAGCAATACTCTGTAGGACTATGCTTTTCTGAAGTAAAGATTATGTTTCTCAATTTTATGTGCACAATACACTCCTGGTGCTAGCTTTGATAGGCAAAATATTTTGGAACGATGGCCCCAGTAATCGTTTTACTAGTTCATAATCTTTATTAGATTATGAGTATAATCCCCAAAAATATTAGAGGTATTTCCAAGCAGTTTTTGATCTTTATTCTGCATTTCTGGGCATTTGTAATATGGTATTCTACTGATTTATATATATTTTTAATTAAAGTTTGTGTTTAGATTATGGAGAAAGAAGTTTAGAAGTATATTTCTTCTAATAAAATATTAAGACAGTATTTTAAATATCAGTGCACACGTCCTCACTTCTTTCAGTTTTGAGCTATAGAAACAATTGTGTGAACTTTAAATCTATTTTTAGTTAAAGCTGGTTCACACTTTGAAAATTTTATAGCAAATTGCCTAAGCCAATTGATTAATCATATAATGCCTACTTTTCCTTTGTTTTCTTTCAGTGACGTTTGGGAGTTGGGTGACATTTTAAAATTTGCTTTACACCATTTATCTTTTGCAAACCTGTTTAAATATAGTTTTGAAGAAATACTAGGTAGTAGTCAAGTCTCAGATCTTTGGTAGCACTATCATGAATTATTTCCACCTTTCCTGAAAATAACAAGTGTGTATTCCATATCGGGTTGGTGTACTGGTTAGACTGCATTTAAAATAGTTAATGAAGAATGTTACTGGATTAGAATTCAAACTTTTAAAACTTTGAAATTTAAGAATGTTTTAGAAAGTGCATGCTTTATGTTAAAACATTCATTGCTTTAACATTACATTCCCCATTCTTGCTTTTTCAGAAATTTATATTAATTTTGCATGTGTGTAAACTTATTCAAGAACATTTTGTGGGGTTATAGATTTCTCTTGTTATTTATAAAGATTCAGTATTAACTTGACCTTTGAAACCTTGGTCCCTTTAACTTACTAGTCACATTGACCAATGTTTTAGGCTATATAGTGATGCCTAGAATTTTGAGACTGAAAGTAATTATTATTTGAACATTCCAAAAGTTTTGTGATTTTTTTTTTCTGGTAATTAACACATTTTCTTCATCATCTACCTTTAAATGGCCACAGTGTGTACTGCTTGAATGTTCTATCCAAAAGATGTAGCTTTGGAAGCACAGGGATTGCCCATGGTCCATGAGACATTGTTTGTAGTCTGAGGATGGAGTGCTGTCTACTGAAACAATGCTCTTAAACAGATATGTAGTATGTAATATTTTCTAATAAATCTTTTGATAAACAAAGTAGTGTCTTTAATATTTTGTTAAGATTCCTGAGAAATGGACTTTAACCTCATTATAACTTTCCAAACATTTGTTGAAGTATTTCTTGGATCTGTACCAAAGTAGCTAGCATCATAGTTACATTAATATCCAAGTTGTAAAGCATGCTTAGAGTGAGCTATATGCACCTGTTTTAATAGCATTTTTTCCCTAATCATATAATGATTGTACAAAGTTAGAAAAACTTGAGTAAATAAAAAAAAGTAGTAAAGAGGGAAGAAATAGAATAACAAAAGGAGAAAAATCACCTGTAATTTTACTATTTAAAGGTGTAACAACTGTTAACACAGATTAAATTGCACATAATTGTAACTCATCCTTTTCACCTGATGTATTGAGAAGTTATCATTTTATTTATATTTTTTCTTTATTGATTTGAGAGAGAGGAAGGGAGAGAGAGAAACATTGATGAGAGAACATCGATTGGCTGCCTCACCCCCACTGGGGATTGGGCCCACAACCTGGGCATGTGCCCTGACCGGGAATTGAACTGGTGACCTCTTGGTGCATGGGTCGATGTTCAACCACTGAGCCATATCAGCTGGGTGAGAAGTTGTCCTTTTAATAAAAATTATTCTACAGCATGATTTTTAATGGCTATATAGTATTTTATTACATAGATATTCCTCAAAACAACCTTCTGTTGGATAGTAAGTTGTTTTTACTAATGTAAGTAAATTAGTAAATACAAATTGTACTAATATAAATAAGACTGCTATAAACATCCGATTACATAAATTGTGCTCGTTTCAGATTGTTTTCTGGTAATTAATTCCTAGAAGTAGGATACTTTGGTCATTCAGTTTTTATTTCCCTATAAATTTTAAAATGTGATTATATACATAACACTTGATATATAACTTTTTCAAATTCAATTTTAGTTAGTGTAAAAATCCATTTTCCTAAGCTGATTTTTCTATCTAGAGAACCATCAGAAAGATCTTTTTGTTTTCGCACTCTTCAGTGCATTTACTAAAATGCTTTTTTTAAAAAAAACTTTATTGTTGACTGTATTACAGATGCTCCTCCTTTTTCCCCTATTGACCCCCTCCTTGCTGCTCCCGCCCCCCTCCTGCCTTTCCCCACACTTTGTGTTCATTGGTTATGCATATATGCATATAAGTTCTTTGGTTTGTTTCTTCCCACCCCCTTCCCTTTGAGGTTTGTCAGTCTAACAACCAATTTGTATTTCTTAATCCCTTCCCCTTTTTCACCCATTCTCCCAACCTTCCTCCCATCTGGCAACCAACAAAATGTTCTCTGTATCTATGAGAATGTCTGCTTGTTCATTTTGTTTGTAGATTTCAGTTGTTGCTAGATAGGTATGTATTACCATTTTGTTTGTTCATATTTTTTATCTTCTTTTTCTTCAAGAAGACCCTTCAACATTTCATATAATACTAGTTTGGAAGTGATGAACTCCTTTAGCTTTTTCTTGTCTGGGAAAATCTTGATATGTCCATCAATTCTACAGGATAGCTTTGCAGGATAGAGTAATCTTGGTTGTAGGTTGTTCTTTTGCTTCTTTTCATCACATTGAATATCTCTTGCCACTCTTTTCTGACCTGCAAAGTTTCTTTTGAGAAATCAGCTGACAGTCTTATGGGAGCTCCCTTGTAGGTCACAAACTGCTTTTCTCTTGCTGCTTTTAAGATTCTCTCTTTGTCTTTAACCTTTGGCATTTTGATGATGATGTGTCTTTGTGTGGACCTCTTTGGGTTCATCTTGTTTGGGACTCTCTGTGCTTCCTGGACTTGTATGTCTGTTTCCTTCACCAAGTTAGGGAAGTTTTCTGTGATTATTATTTCAAATAGGTTTTTAATTTCTTGTTCTCTCTCTTCTTCTGGCACCCCTATGATGCGAATGTTGGCACGCTGGAAGTTGTCCCAGAGGCTCCTTACACTAGCCTCATTTTATTGGATTCTTTTATCTGTTTGCTGTTCTGATTAGGTGTTTTTTGTTTCCTTAGATTCCAAATCAGTGGTTTGCTTCTTGGCTTTACCTACGCTACTATTGAATCTGTAAATTATTCTATATTTCAGTTAGTGCCTCCTTCATTTCTGACTGGTCCTTTTTTATGCTCTTGAGGCCCTCACTTAAGTTCATTTAAGTTCTCACTAAGTTCATTGAGCATCCTTATAAGCAGTGTTTTGAACTCTGCATCTGCTAGATTGCTTATTTCCATTTCATTTAGTTCTTTTCCTGGACTTCTGTTCTTTCATTTGGAACATGTTTCTTTGTCTCCTTATTTTGGCTGCTTCCCTGTGTTTGTTTCTATGTATTAGGTAGAGTTGCTATGTCTCCTGAGCATCCTAGGGTGGCCTGTTGTCGTAGGTGTCCTGTATGTCCAGTGGCACAGCCTCCTTGGTCTTTCAGCTGGGCCCTCAAGGTGCACCCCTTGTGTGGACTTTATACCCTTCTCTTGTAATTGAGTCTTGATTGCTGTTGGCCTGTCAATGAGAGAGTTTTACTCAGGCTGATCAGTTTCAAGAACTGGGTGTGTCCACTGACCTCTGACTACCTTGGGTGATCAGCTGTGCAGGGGCCCACCACACAGAGCAAGACTTACTTCAGCAGGGCTCTGGTACCCAGAGTCCACTCCTTGAGTGTGTCACTTGTGGACGTGGTTGGGTGGTGGTGCTTTGATATGGTCTGAAGCTGTCCACTGGGTGTGCTGGATCTGGGGCAAGGTCAGCCACTGCCAGTGTTCTACCCAGGGCCACCAATTGTAAGATACAAAGTGATCTGCAGATGGCTGCTGCTTGTGCTGGGCTTGGTGCCCAGGAAAAGCCAAGTTGTGAACCAAGGTTGGCTGCTTCTAGTGCCAAGCCTGGGGCCACTTAACGAGAGATATGGGGCTGCTGAGACCAGATGTTGCTTGTTTGAGAGAATTTAGGAAAATGTTAAGTAGGATCCTAAACAGGCCAATCCTATGGTAAAGCCATTGGAAATAGCTTGGGTGGGGCGGGGCCTCAGGGAATCACCGGGGCGGGGCTACCAGAGTGAGCCAGGTGGTGGAGTCCCAGATGTGGTGTAGGTCTGCCATCTGTGGGGGACAGGCACACCAAAGGAACAGGAGCCTCTTCTGCCTTCACCCCATGCCAAACAGCTCAGTTCTTCCACATATGTCTCTGGTGCCTTTTAAGCTGCCTCCTCCACAGCGGACCCTGGAGGGAGTAAGTCCGAGTAAGTGTGCACCAGCCGTTTAAGAGGAGCTTACTATTGCTCCAGCCATGTCAGCTTCCCTCAGCCTCAGTTCCCGATGGTTTTACACCCAGAAGTTATGGGGACTTCTCTTCCTATGATTGGAACCCTGAGCTGGGAGCCTGGTGTGGCACAAGGACCCCTCAGTCCTCAGGGAGGACCCTTACAGCCGAGGTATCCCTCCTGATTTTTATCCGCCACATGGTATGGGACCAGCCGGTCACACCTCTGCCCCTCCTACCAGCCTCCATGCGGCTTCTTCATTTTTGTAATTGTAGGGCTTCATTCAGCTTCATTTCAGGTGGTTCTGAATAATGGTGGTTCTGTAGTTTCGTTATAATTCTGATGTGGTTGTGGGAGGAGGCGATACCACGTTTACCTATGCTGCTATCTTGACCGGAAGTCACAAAAATGCTTTTTGAGCTTCCAGGATAATAGGTTTCCCCAGCACATAAATTATATTCTGTAAACTGTTCTGCATCTCTTGTCCCCTTAAGAAATTGAAGATGTATTCTGTCGTCCATGTTCTATTTTATAACGGCCGTTGGGTTCTGTTCATGGGTAAGTTGTGGCTATTAGAAACAATGTTTAATGAACATCCTTTGTGACATCTCTATGAACCTTTTTGTGTATGAAGTTACATTGGATTTCAGGATATGCACATTCTAATTTGGATAGATGTTGCCAAATTGCTGTAAAAGGAGTATACTAATTTATAATCCCACCCCAGTTCCTGAGCTTAAAAATTAACCTTTAAGCCCTGGCCGGTTTGGCTCAGCGGTTAGAGCGTCGGCCTGCGGTCCTGAGAGACCCAGGTTCGGTTCCCGCTAAGGGCGCGTACCTCGGTTGCAGTTTGTCCCCGGCCCTGGTTGGGTCGTGCAGGTGGCAGCCACTCGATGTGTTCCTTTCACATCGATGTTTCTCTCTCTCTCTCTGTTCCTCTCTCTCCCTCCCACTCTACCTGAACAAAAAATGGAAAAATGTCCTTGGATGAGGATAAAAAAAAAAAAAAATTAACCTTTAATTCCACCTTTGGTACTGTGATTGAACATATAAGATTCATATAAGATTGTTCTTGTTTATAATGTCTTGATGGACATTCCTCAAACAATGTACACCTATGTGTAAGGAATAATTGGATTCTTCACATACCAAGTTTATTCATGCCACAGTCTTCAAACAGAATAGTACAAAATTAATGTTTATAAAGCTTGTAGTATATGCCAGGCACTCAATTTGTGTGTTACTTCATTTGATGTATAAAACCAAATCTAGTAATTATCTTTGTTGTACTGATGAGAAAATTGATATGCATAAGGCATGAACCAAGTTAATTAGTTACTCAGCTACCTGTTGATAACTAGGATTCGGACCTAAGATTTGGTAAATGCCAGTCAGTTCTTGACCTAAAAGGTGATATACTGGGAGCACAGAAAGGGACGCAACCAGCTTTGTTTGGGGGAGGTAGTGAGGAAAGAATATTTGTTCTGTCTTAGCTAGAGCTCATTTTTGCCATTTTAATCCTCCCGTTTTTCCTATCCTAGAGAGATTAAGCCTAAAATGTTGATGCCGTGGTTCACGAAACCTTGGCTCTAATCACCCCATATCCATTGTCTCAAACAATTGCTGTTTCCTCTGTCATCTTCCTTTGCAATAAACTCTACCTCTTTTGAGGTTCCCAGCAATGTTACTGTCTAATCTCTGAATAGTCTCAATTGT